GGGCCGGGGGGGGGTGGGGTGGGTGTGCAGCATGAGGAAGAGGAAGGGCACCAGGGAGAAGCACATGGAGTGCTGGGCTGCTCCCTGATGGGCAGGGAGTTTCCCTGACCGACTACTTGGCACTTGGTGGTGAGGACTCAACGTGTGAACTGTGTGGTGTGAGGGATGCTCCTGCTGGATGAGGCCCTCTCTGGGCACCTCCCACGGCTCCCCACTGTGCACTGCGGGGAGATGCCCACCGGGCGACTGTGCTCAAGGCACCATGCTCCTGCCAGAGCCGACTGCTGGGCTCACGCAGCCTGTTCTCAGGTCAGAACGTGTTTTGCCCCCACACGCCAATGACTACCTTTGTGTGCGACGGCCCTGGCAAGGGAGTGTGGTGACCGCTGCACGCCTGTGGTCACCCAGAGAAAGTGTTACAGACCCAAACCAGGGGGCTGCTGCAGGTGGGGTCCCGGACCCGCTGAGCCCTTCACCTGCAGCCCACCGCCGGAGGCTCCAAGCTCCCGGGAGGACTATCTCAGCCTGTGACCAAAGGACAGTGAGTCCCTGCAGTGACATTCAAGTGGTTTTCACTGAAAATTACAAGGGTGTTGGCCACAGCCCGGTTCACGTGTGTTGTGCGTGGACACGCTGTACGTGTACAAGGGAGGCGATGACCAGAGCCCCCGATCCGAGATGCCCTCCGATCGTGTCTCCTCCACGTTGCTTTCAAGACACTGGTTTTCCCCCGGCCGAGGAGCTGGTCTCGCTGTGCGGGGATGTGCGGGTTGAGAAATGCAGAAGGAGGTGCCCTGGGCGCCTGTCCCTAGCGCCGGGCTGGACCCTGCGCCAACTTTGTCCTCCGCAGAATGGCTAGTGTGGCGGTCACTCACCCCAGCTCTGGCCTTCGGGCCCGAATGCTGGAGCCAACCGAGTCCCTGCAGGAGAGGCGAGCGCTCGCGGGACTGACGGCGGCTGGAAGCAGGGCCGCAGCCGGTGCCAGGCACGGGCCGCGCTCCGTCGGCGGCCGCGGGTTCCC